TTAGTAAATAGTATATAAGTATTGACACAATATTCCAAATAAAAAGTATCATCGACGTAAATACGTAATTGTCGCGAGGTAAATAATTCGAGCCTGCTGACGCGGAAGAAAGATTCTTCGTATCTCTGGTACACAGGGGCAATTGTAATTGCCAAGTGTGTATTATCCTCTTCAAACATCTACCAACGATGTTAATCTTTATCGGCACGAAATATTTCTTTGTATGGCGTGTACCAGGAGCAAAAAAAAAAAAAAAAAAAAAAAAAAAAGAAAAAAAAGGAATAACGTCCTGATAAAAACACATTTCAAGGCAAACAAACACTCTGTTAGCACGATTAAAAATTTAATCGTCAAACGATAATCCATGCGGACAGTGGGACGACGACGTTACACGAGAACCCATACGGACGATACGACGCAGATGCGACCAGTTCGAGTGACAGTAATGTGACTGATGCGTATCGCGACGCGATATACCCTCCAGGGATAACAAAATGGCATATCGTTGACCATTTAGGGCGCACTTCTGTGCCGTACTCTTCGATCTATACACGACACACGCATCTATACATCTCATTTACATGGACTCTCTGGTTCGAAAGCGACAACGCGCGAATCAATTCTCTGTAGAACGGTGCGAATATTTTGGTAGTTGTTATGTTGCGAAAATATGTATACTTTGGTATTTGAATAACGTAAGATCGCAGAAAATTGTGCAAATTGTCAATGTCTGTTAATCGTTTTAGTAAAAATGTAACTACTAGAGAGTAGAATCTGAAATTTGTTACACGCGTGATAAATTCTTCGAGTGATAAATATTTCATAAAGCTAAAGAAAAAGAAGAAGACAGAGCTTTTTCAGGTATCGAAAAAATTCCCGAAGAAATTCGAAATCTTTTAATTACGCCGAATGTTTAAAACATTTCTCGACCATATCACTCAAGTACCACTTGCATTACGTAGCTTTCGTCGACATTTTCTTGCTTTCGACGAGAATGTTAGATTGAAAATTTCGTTAATCGAAAAACATGCGTTGACCGAAACCTATCAAGCTTCACTAGAAAGGAAGAAAAAATACGTACAGGCATAAGCTGCGCAGGAAAAGAAGAAAAGATTTAATCCAACCTGCTCAAAGAATATCAACATCCAAGTTGAAATCTCAGTTTGCCAATTCGATCAACGCCGGTTCTTTACCTCGTGAGAGAGAGAGAGAGAGAGAGAGAGAGAGAGAAATTGCTCGACTTCATAAAAACTTTGAAAGTACACACCACTTTGCCAACGATCCCATCAGAAGCTCTTAACCCATGCCCCTTCTATTCAGCACAGTTTTTTCGCGGTTCTAAGAATTCCTTTGTTCAATTAAGTTTCGAGAACCGATACGGTGAATACATTTGCGAAAAGCGGCTCGTAACTGAGTTGGAGCGAAACGGGCCTCTATATAATGCTACGTGTGCCGTGAATAAAGTCGGCGGAATATTGTTTCAAGAGAGAGAAAGAGAGAGAGAGAGAGAGAGAGAGAGAGAGAGAGATGGAAGAGAGAAAGGGGTACAGCTCGTTAGCATGCTGTATTATTTATTTGAATTATGCGGAATTCCTTATCCTTTTGCGAAACGGAAGCCACGGGACTAGATGGGGACCGATAAAAATTATTCGCTGGAAAGCCATTCGCAAATGGAATAAATTTCGCGACGGCGCGCCGAGCATCTCTAACCAAGGGTACAAAATGCAGAGATATTCGCGGCTTCTCTTGGCAACGCGAACACACTCGAAAACGCGAGGCTTCTTAGAACGTTTGAACGATTCTATGCAAACACTTCAGACGATGCTTGGCGAGCGTTACATCGATCCTCACGAAAACTCGCGGTGAAGAAGATTCGCACGGGGAGGATTGCTAAAATTTCACATTTAAATAGTACATTTGAGCGGAAGTTCGAAGTATTTGAAAATTTCGTGCGCGTTGCACGCACTTGTTATCAATCGTCAGACACCTACGTACTTATACATGTCAATGTATAGCAAAGAATTCGAATTTTCGTGAGACGACAATTTCCATTTGCTTCGCGTATACTCGTTGTTCGAAATTCCAAGGGAAAATGTAAGATTATCTTCCCGTTTGAAATTTCCTCATCTACCGTACCTACGGTAAGCGATACAGCTGCGTTGTTAAACAGTTGAGAGACCCGGCATTAAAATTCATACCTGCAAGACACGTATGATGGAAAATTTTTGCAAGTTGAAAGCTCAGGCACGAAACCGATGCATTTGTGATGCATTGAAACAACTTTTTCTTTTTTTTTTTTTTTTGTCAGAAATTCACGTTACGATGATTATCGAAAACTACGCGCACCGCGAATCTTCAAAGCTATACATCAGCGCATGCGAGGTATTAAATGGCATCCGTTTGTTCATAGCCCTTCGCGTACACATCCATGTTCGAGCCACTAATCAACGTGTGCGCGAGCGCATGAATTTGACAGGCGGTGTCGCGCGGAATCACGGGGATCGTTTCCAATTCGCGAATACACGATCCTTGGAGGTTGATTTACGCGGAATTCGAAACTAATTGACCGGGCGCATCGTTGTCATCGAAACATCTAACGTTGCCCGAAGTAACAGCGGCCCCGAAGTATCCGGAATATTCCCAATTTCCGCCTAACCATATTCAATATCCGGATGTTGAAACTTCGGATATCCGTAGTGCGCATTGCCGAAACGATCGTATCGGCGAACTATTCAAATAATGGTATAACTGTACCTAACGTCCGCCTCGTCCTTTACACGGCCAACTTTCCTAATAATTGATAATCGACATTCCCCGCGCCACGAGTTTCACGCGGGCCCCGGCACCGAACGCGTTGAAGTAATTCCAACGCTTGTTAAGCCGAACGCGAATGTAACGCGAATGTAATGTAACGACGCTCGAAACGTCGGTAAGTTGCTTCGCTCGTAGATCGAACTCCCGGAATTATGCACAGCCGTGCGAGGAGAGGACGAGTTCGACGATCGACGAACCGCGATCCGGTATTCAAGATTACGTTATTATGTTTTCGCCCATAACACTGAATGAGACTCGTAGTAAGTTTATCGGTCCAAACGTAAGAAGCACGAGTCAGGTTCGTGATTCATAATGCAGATCACATTATTGCGCCAATTTTGATATTCAAACGTACATACTGTTTTAAGGTGTTAAAAGAAATCCTTATATAATGTTTTCAAAAAGCAAACGAGAGCAGTGAGAAATGACATTATTGCAGGCAATGATTTGATTAAGAACTTTCCGGTAGACAAAGTGTTAAGACAAACCAGGGAGTGTAGGAAAAGGTTTAAAAAATTTCTCATTGTCGAGTTTATGACATGGCAACCCTACCTAACCTAAACCGCATTGTACTTGAGATTAATTAAATTTATAAGGTGTGTAGATTAAAGTTTTCTAAATGGTCAAATGGTTTAGAAATTCCTCACTTGCCACGCTCGGTTCAAGCATATCCACGTCATAAGTATTGCACGTACCTTTGGCCTTGACAAATTAATTATCCCTCGGACACGATTGAAACGTAATTGCCAATTATCGAAAGACGTAGCTGCCGCGCGGTGTCTCGAAGGAAGTTTCCACTAATTCTGTTTAAAATTATCGCGGTGGTTATTTTTAAAGTTTCGCAATTAGGAGAAGTTCCCGGCTCGCTGTGATCAAGAGAACTTTGAGCCACGGTTTTAAACTTGCTGTTGCTATAACGACTCCTCGAGCTCGCAGCGATGGTAGAACTGACGCTCGTCTAACGCCAAATTCCAAATAATTCTTCGAACGCCAATGGACGTTCCGTTGAAATTAACAGAGAAGTATCACGATTTCGTTTCGAGCCCATTGTCCCAACCGCGCTAATGTCCGGCGGTGCGCGTGCGCGTGCGTGCTTCGCGCGAACAAAATACAAACGTTAACGACGAGAATGGTGAACGAAAATCCGCCGATAATATACGAGCAAATAGGCGCTCGTTACAATGGAGGGTACGCGCGATGGCGGTTTGAAAAACAGCCCTCGCGTAACGCGTTTGACAGGATGATTTGCATCCTGTGTTTCATAAAAGTGTGTACCTTTTCACCGAAAGATAATGATCGCGGCGTGTATCGAGTAAGAACAATGACTGCAACCCGGACCGCGCGTAAAAAGCTCGCCGAATCTATTATCAGGCATCTTGATTTAGGAAGAAACACACGCGATATTTTCGACACGGTGGAAATTACATTCCGACGTAATGTGTTGTCGCCGACGCGTGCAAATCGAAATAAATAAATAAATAAATAAATAAATAAATAAAAGAAAGAAAAAAAGAGGAACGCATTGCATTCGCGTACTCGCGGGAATGTTCACGCAACGACGCAATAATTTGCGCGGCGTTCTCCGCCAGTTGTTTCAACTGCTCACGCCTGGCCATTGCTCGAGCTCGACTACTGAAAAATTGCCTGCTCGGCGATAGGCGGCCGAGGGCACACGCGGAATAATCGCGATCGCACCGAGAAAAATAACTTTCGAGGCGTGATCGTCAGCGTGACTGCGATAGCGTGACCGTCGGAATCGAAACGGTGTGATTTCGAAATTCGCCGGTTGTAATTGAGTCGTGACTCGGCTGGAAAGACGCGAAGGGCCCCCCGTGTCCATCAACTCCCGAGACGAGATAACTTGCTTTTAAATATCGCGTGCTTGCTAATTTACGTCAGCTGGCAACCTATTATAACACGATTGTGCCACGTTGCCCGCTATCTCTCTTTCTCTCTCTCTCTCTCTCTCTTTCTCTCTCTGTTTCTCTCGGCGAGTCGAGAGAATGCTTTTGATGTCTGACTGTGTTTCCTGCGTTCCGCTATTGCCCGCCCGCGATATCCCGAGGCGCGAAAGACGTGTTTTATGCACTTTGCCCGAGCTTGGCAAGACCGCCACGCACGACGGGATATTTTTATCGTTGAAATCTATAAAGAGTCTGAATCTGAACTGAGAATTCAACACTCACCCTCGATAATGGGACGCTGCGGCTTATAGGACATGTCTGCAAAGAGAAATGAATTAATTATTAGTAACATTAGTCACGATGCGCATCGTACGTACATAAGCAAGCTAAGAATTTTTAACGAGCTCTTTTAGCAAGCAGAACAGTTTTAACTGTTCTGTTTCTTTTTATGACGATACTTTTATCCGGGGCAACGCTTGTACAGAAAATAAGAACATCCGTTAAATAATATATCGAGACTAGCCAACGAAGGAACGCTTGTTTCAGAGAAGCTCCGAGGAACTTTCACTCGTTGTAATTTATAATTATTTCGTATACTTGATTAAACATGCAGCACGTAAATTACTGTAATAATAATAATTTTATCTGGCGTAACGTTTGCAAGAAAAAAAATGTTAAATAACTGAGACTAGACAATAAAGAAATGCTCATTACAGAGAAACTTTGAGGAACTTTGACTCGACGTGATTCCATTATTTTGTATATTTCGTACATCAGACATACAGCGCATAAATTACTATAGCAATAATAATTTTATCTGACGCAACATTTGCAAGAAAAAAAAAATTGGACAATCGAGAAACGCCTATTTTAGAGAACGTAATTCCATCATTTCGTATACTTGATCAAGCACATAAATTATTAATCAAAGACGTATGTACATGTGTATGTATGTAAATCGCCAATGATCAACTAAGAAAGTACCATAAAAACCGCAGACTCCGTGCAAAAAGCCGAAACTAGCTTTGAAATCGACCAAAAACCTTAGGCGACAATCTCGCGATGCCTTCAAGTTCAACATCGCGCTCCGTCAAAGAAGATCGTATATGAACACAACTGCTTTAATCGCGTGCGTAATGAATTCGCGTGTTGACAAAATCAAAGTGTCTTGCTCGAGGCGGTGCCCGATTCTCAGCCTGCTGGCAAACTTTCGCTCGACTTTGTCGCGGCCTCAGACAACCGTAATTAACGTTTCGGAGAACGCGCGGATCAGCCCCGATCCCCCAAGGTTTCCCCGAACAACGAAATTCAAGGAAGGAAGGAAGGAAGGAAGGAAGACTCGCGCGGATCGAGGGCAAGGCAGATAGACGAGGCAATTTCGAGGAGCAAATAACAGGGAAATTCAGGGTGGCCGAGTCGCGCAACATTTCCCCCTCGGCTCGGTTCTGCAAAGCTTCGCCCTTCGTGAAACTTTTAATTATCCTTTCCTGACCCGGTCCTTTAATGAAGATCCTGCCGCGTCTGCCGCACAACCACGTATGACGTTCCAAATAATTACAAGTTCTCTGCACGAACTCTGCTCTCGGCGGCGTCTGAAGGATAGGGATTTTCTCCCGTGCACCGCCGACGAGTCGCGAGCGCGTTTCCGAAAAGGACGTGAAAAAAAATTCAAAAGCACGGACCGAGTGGGAAAGAGACTGACTTCAGAATTTATTTTTTCTTGGAAACTGTCGGCCCGCGGCCGTTGAAATCGACAACTGACAGTAATGTTACAATTGAAAACAAAACGATGTTCGTTTGCGAACGTTGCGTCGTTCTACTTGGGTAGTTGCAGACGAACGTCTCGAATCGATAATTCCAGTCGTAAATATAATGAACTCACTTCGGAGAATCGGAGAAACAAGAAATCCACGACATTAAGTCGCGTCTACGTCCGCGATACGACTGAAATACTAAAACGTTAACTCTCGAGCACTCGACGCGATAACTCTCGCAATTAAACACACGTTACGGCCAGAAGGTTTTTTTTTCAGCGGATGGTGGTTTTTGTTGTAGCGCCGGCACGCGTGCTCGCAACGTTCGCGCAGTCCCGTTAAAATATATTAACGGAGAAATATCGCTCGTTCGTCGGCCAGTAATTCATCACGCATATGCATTTACGGTAATCTACGCTGGCGCGCCGGTAGCACCATCGGGGAGGAAAAAATGGTTTTCGAGAGTCGGACAAATGTATTTTAAATCTGCGACCGCGGTTGCGTGCGCGTTCGAACAACGAAGGGGAGAGGTGAAAATGCCTCGCAACAGTGGCATGGGAGGGTAATGCAAAAATCAATGAAATGGAAATATCGCTTTTAATTCGATGGAATAGTTTCGTGCCTCTTCCTTCTCCCTCTCTGTTTCCTTTTCCTTTTCACGTTCACGCGCGTGAATTTCGCCCGCGTTAGCGAACCAGCGCCGCATTTCGGAAATTACTTGTTGCAACGGCGACGCAATTACGTCGTGTCGGCGATTCATAAGAGCACAATTTCGCGTCGCGTTCGTTGATCGTCGAATTTTTATCCGCCACCTGGAAAACGAGCCTCCGCTCGAAATTGTTTCTTAATTGAACGCGCTCGTCTGTTCTCGCGATACGTCTAATCAAACGATTTTCTAATGGCAATTCACTCGTGGAAAATCGTGCTCGTTAGTTAGAAATACCGATGGGAAGCTCCAATGTTGTTGGAAATTTTTAATAACTATTTTCGTTAACACGTCGTATCCTCGTGCCTCGTGCCAACAACGGACGCACAAGCAATTACATATTTTTACCAGACTTCAGCAAACGAGAATAATAACGCTTTACACGACCGTTGCCTAACAATAGCCGCAAAAATTTCCAGTTAAATAACTTTTTAATGAAAGCGCTTTTCGCGAGATACGGCCCGCCACCCGGACATGTTCGTCGTTCAAGCCAGGATCTTTCTTCCAATGATTCTGAGAAATCACTTCTTTCTTTCTTTCTTTCTTTCTTTCTTTCTGTTTTCCTTTCTTTTTTCTCGAGACAGCCAATCGGGGAATGAAAATCAAGCGGGGAAGGGTGTTGTAAAATTCAGTAGGAAATACGAGAACCAAAATTAACGCTTAATTCGGATTTATATTTATCAAAATACGTACCACTGTGAAACGTAATTACATTACAGTATGCAGCAGGCTGGTTCAAATTTCAAATTACTCCTCTACGTCTTAAGCGTGGAATTTTATTCGTATCTCACTCAGAGTACAAAAATGTTCAACAGCGCAGGAATTTCATGCCTCCTTCAACTTCGCTGCGTTTCTTTCTTTAACGATATTTTTCTAACGATAATAAATATCATTCGATATGATATAAATATGATATATTATTAAGTTATATAATTATTATATATAACAAAGTCTTGTTGATCTGTTTGATCCATCGTGTTTCAAAATTTTGTGTTAAAAGCTTCCCTGAAACATTCTCCTCGTTTTCCAAAGTAGAAGCAAGACCAAAACAATAAATACCATCGATTAATAACCTCGTTTTCCCCTTTTGTTTTCCAAAGGGAGAAAAAAAAAAAGAAATTTCGATCGGTAATTACTGTATAAACCTTGCTCGTCGTCCCGACAATTACACCATCGCCGTTTCTCAGTTCCAATCAACGTCACTCAGCGTCGAGGCGAAGAGTCAGAGGAACACGAAACGTAGCCAGCCAAGTCCCAGGCACAAAAGGCATTCACCGCCGCTTATGAAAAATTGCTCAGAGACGCAAAGGAGGAAATCTTCTACCACCGCGCCGAGTAGGGAAGTAGACCGCGCGGCAACGCACGCGCTTGCTCACACAGGTAAGTTTGCACTGCACACAGGTAGATCTCCGCGTACTTCGTGCCACGCGGCACTATCAAACCGACCATATGTATGCAGCCCGGCTCTATGAAGACTCGTACAGGCCGATATCGCGCCGATATTTCCCTTTCCCGTCCCACCGTACAACTGCGGGTTGACACACATGGGGAACACGTGTCGCCACTCCCACAAACCGGCGGATGACACAGTTACGGCCACGATCAACCACACGCGTGCACGGCCCACTGCGTGCACGCGATTATATTTGCTTGGATTTTTGGCCACATCGAAGAGAGAGAGAGAGAGAGAGAGGATTGATGCGGTTGATTCATATTTTTCTGAACTCGAGCGAAGGAACGGAGGGCTTGAAGGGAAGTTTGTTTCCGTTTGTCATAGCTATTGATTATTAGAGTACTATTTTTTTTTTCTCCTTTTTTTTTCTATGGTACTTAGCGTCGCATCGACTACGAGATCATTAGCGAAGGTGGGATTTAGCAATTTTAGATGTATGAGTAGGTATGAGTAGGTATCTTTGAGGTATTTCAAAGTATTGTTATTACATTTTTATACTATTAGAGTACTGTTATTATATATATTAATTATTAGAGTTGATATATTAATATATTATATATATTAATTATTATATATATTAAATATATATTATATAAATTAATTATTAGAGTCGATATATTAATTATTATTAAAGACGAAGAAGATTGACATCAACTGTCAAACCACAGCGAGCATTATGTTTCGTAGAGTTTTGCAACTTTGAATTTCCCGCAAATGCGCAAACATCCACGTACAAACATAAACGTCGGTGTAATTACATTTAAAACAAACGGAACGTAAGACTCTCAGAGCAAGTAGCGTTTGTTGCGTAAATAGAAGGGGTACGAAAGAGATGTGAAATCTGATTTATCGTTGAAACGGCCAGGCTCTGGCCGGGGAAGCAGAGTTTCCCGATATTTCGAAATTTTCCAATTTTCCATCAGCGCCTCGATCGTCCTACATACGGCGAAACTTTCTCGCCGTTCTTCAGTTCCGCAGAAACTTATCAAACCGAATCAGAGCGTACACAGATGGACAGTAAAGTTCAGGATGATCTTGGAACTAGATAACCGTGCGAAGTCTGAAAAATTGGCAGTGTCTGCTAAGCCGACTGGCCTGCCCGCCGCTATATATATATATATATATATATTGATCTCGTCTGGTAACAAGCTCTGGAAAGTATGTCGAAAGTCGTGAGGACAGAGGAACACGGGAACGGGATAATGGTGTTTCCGTTCGCGCGCGAAATTCACCAAGAATTCACCGAGTCGCGGGCCAGACTGTAATTCCAAAGACGATTTGTCGTTTGTATCGCAGTGAGAAAGCTCCGCGACTCGACTCGACCGAGAGCACCAACGACGCGGCGATGAGGTCGAGAACACGGCCGACCTAGGTGGCTAGGGAACGAACTCGATTCGCCGGCGGA